GCCGAGGGCTACTTTTCAGTCACCCTCTTTATACCATCATTGAATCTATCACTATGGCTCCTTTACATATAAGCTTATGTAAGGAGTGGGGAAGGTTAGTGAAGATACATATTAATTTTGTACATGTATTTATATCTATATGTGTAGAGAGATTCATGTGTTCACTTGTGTATATTTATACACTGTTATGTGCACATATATACACATGTGCATCTATATATGCACACGCTTTTTCCTCTCAGTTTTTCCTTTATTTTATTAAACCTTTTTTGTTAACAATAGATTTCCAAATTTTTATCTATATTTTTGTTTCTTTTTTTCTTTTCATTTTATTTTATTTAATATTTTATTATTATATATTCCCTTTTTCCTCCACTTTTTTTCTTTCTTTTTCTTCCTTTTCATCACTTTCTAACTATAGCCCGTCTTTCAAGACTTGACAATTTGGTATGCCGATTTTTGCTACAACTTGCTACATGAGTCTTTCCCTATCCCCAACCTATAACTTCCTTCATCAATGTTTACAATCTCCCCCCACTCCATAATGCACACTAGTAACTATAGACGTACCTAACACTTTTACACCAATCAAAATTTTAAATTTAAGTTTATTTTCATAAAAATTTTGCACATCGAAGAATCAGATCTGGATTTTGCTAACAATACAGATTTCTACTGGAAAATACCCCCTCTACAAAAACATCTTAGTGGGTAATTCCCTTTTCTCTGTTTTTTCCTCAGTCTGTTGATGAAGGACACAGGCATGTCTGAAAATTCTGAACATAAAACTTTTCTCTCCTTGCTCCATTTCTGTCATATGGTTAATATTTAATAAATGTTTATGATCGTACTGATTATATTCATACCCTTTCATTTGTTCTTGTTTTATTAACCAACCTATTTTACATATTATAAGAAGCACACGTTGACCATTTTTTGTTTCAATTATATATTTGCTAATCTTAGCATATTTAATCCCAAAGAACTTTACCAAATAATAAAAGCCATATCATTTGAAGACTTTCAACAGTAACCACAAAATGGATAACTCGAAGTGAAAATAATGATGCTGACTTTCTATGTCTACTTTAAACAAAAGGTTAGGAAGGAAACTCCCATCAGAAAGAAACATAACAATAAATTTGAAGCCTATTTTCCTGAATAACTGTTTTAATAGAAAGACTTTATAAATGTCAACTGATGGTATTGCTAACTGTTCAGCCAATGCTGAATGTTTCCTGCATGGAAATGACTATTCTTACCATTAGTATAATTACTTGTAATCCTAGCATTCAGGGTTCAATTCCAAGCAAAGAATAGATGTTAACGTCATATGGAAATGTATAGAGTAAGATGCAATGATTATATCAACAACTTTGAATTTTGAGTGAGAAAGAAAGAGAAATTCTTTTTTAGAATGTCTCTTGAATTTAATTCAATATGTAATGGACATATTTCTGTTCTCTTGAAGATAAACTGGAGAAAAGTATCAAGGTTTTATTTTGACAAAAATGCAAGATCCAAATCCCATGATGCAAAGCCGTAGAGTGAAAAGACAGCAGTCAGGGTTAGGTTTTTAGATATGATTCTGACAATTCGAATATATTGGGTAAGTGTGAAAGATAAGTCATTTGCATACATGAGGTCAGCTTCTGCTTTTATCTTTAACACTGGGGATTATCAATTATATTCTCGTTATCAAAGAAGACAAAACAATCCTGTCAGCTTCTTTCATTGGTAATGCTGTCAGCACAAGAAAGAGTTTAGTGTTTCAGAGGTCTTGGCATTCATTCCTTTGAATGTCTAAACAGACAAGAATCTAAACATAAATTGGACACCATTGTCCATTTACTGATAATGAATTCATGCCAATATCCCTTATCTCTCAAGGTGGATACAAATAACAAGTATGGCTACATTTGACTTTAGGCGAGTAATAATCAGGATAAAATTATTATAAAGTCTCGATAAAAGAATTAATATGCAAATATTTCAATCCAAACCTGATAGAATTTTGTTATCAGGAGGTTGTCATTATTTGATCATCAACCAAGTTCAGTTTTGTGACTATCTCTGTTTTTATTTTATCATCAACCAAGACAGTTCAATTTTATGACTATCTCTGTTGTTATTTGATCATCAACCAAGAAAGTTTTGTGACTATACAAAAAAATTTACTTTTTGTCCTATTTTATTCTGTTTGTTTAAATTATCTACATAAATTTGTTTCTCATAAATAACCAATACAAGTCAATTCTGGGCCCACTGCCCAAAGAACAATGAGAATAGACATAAAAAAAATCCTAATTATTCACCAAACCAGATACATCAAATAAAAAATACTTTTATTCGAAAAAGAAGCAACCATTATTCAAAATAAAAATACCATTATTCATTGAGCAGATTCTTTTATTCAATATAAAAATATATTTATTCAAAATAAAAGAGATACTTATTGAAAGTAATGAGATTGTTATTTACTACTAAAAAGATTATTTGCTTACAGCCATATCACATTGAAACACCAGTTCTTGTGTGATCACTAGTTAAGCAATGTTGAGCCTGGTCAGTACCTAGATAGGTGACCACTTGGAAATACCAGATGGTGGAAGGTTAGATATGTGGGTGGTGTAATGGATAACAGCTCAGAATTGTAAATCAGAGTTCCAATTCCAGTTGTTCATTGTGTTCATTTACATGCAAATAATTTGGGGAAAGTTGCGAATCCACCTCTTCTACTCTCAGATGATGGTTAATTAGTAGGACGTGTATCAGTAAATCATTATCTAAAAAAAATCTTCTTACAATTTAAAAATATTTTCAGTCTTTAAATAACCTGCAAAGGGTTAAGATATAATAAAAACAAATCAAAGAGAATTATTTAAAATCAAATGTTGCTTTCGCCATTTACCACTTGACTATTTGCCAATTAGTCAAAATCAAGCAAAAGAGCAAAATCAAAATCACTAAATGAAAAGTACCTACAGTAATGAGGTTCATTTCTGAGATAATGAATTTTCTTTTGTTTCTTGAAATTTTTATTTATCTATATAAATTTCTTTTCTCATAAGTAAACAAGTCAATTCTGAACTTACTGTTCAGAGGACAATAAGAATAAACATTAAAATACTAATAAAATGAATTCCATTATATGAATTAATGTCATAACATAGCTTCCTGTGCTTTTTCTTATAAATACATTCATGATAATTGTTCTGATGAACTTTGCTCTTTGATACCTAGACTTTATGAATTTAAGTGTTGTACTAGATTGGCAATAAAGTCTCATGATTTTACAATTGAAATGGCTAGATGTAACCATAATTTCTATGCTAATTGTTTCTTCTATTGCACTTCTTGCTTGGGGAACTCTCTTCTGGCTTCTTGCTTCCCACTCAACTTTGATCTTCAAAAATTTAAATCCAATATGAATTGGTATTGACTGTCTTCTCAATTCATTCAAACACTCAAAGAGCCAATCTTATGTCCCATTTCCCTTCATGGTGTTGGCAATCAGGGTTCTCCACTACTTTCTATCCTTTGTAGCTCTTAACAGTGTTTGCCTTCTTACTATCTCTACACCTCCCTGTTCTGCTGTCTATTTATACAAACTTGATAGGTAGATTGCTCTTTGTTTCTCTTTCTCATGCATTCAATATGTCCTTTAAGTTTCAAACTCTCCAAGCTACCTTTCTTTATTATACATCTCCAATAATCTTTCTGGTTCTATATAATTGTCCTTTTTGTTTCCATTTTTGTTAAAACTTCCTTATTGCTCACATGTTCTATCTGTGTTATTTTCAGAATCTTTCATCATTCCTGTTCTTTTATTGTTCTCTTCTTAAAAATGTTTTTTTTTTTTTTTATCATATTCTCTAACATTAGTCACCCTTGTTTCTTAATGTCTTTATTACCTTTTTGGGGGTGAAATGATTTAAAAAGAATTACTCTTCCTCATATAACATTTTAATATAGGTTATCTTTTTCTATGTCCTTTTTGGTTATTTTCCTCATTTTTGTGCTGAAAACATATGATAAACAAGAATCTTGTTTTTGGAGTCCTGGTTCATAAAAGTGAAAAAGGATATTGCTAAGAGCATTTAGGCTTAAAGATGCTGGAAGTTTTACACAGAAGATTGATGGACCAAAAAGAAAATCTACAATTACCCCCTTCCCCACTTTCCATTTCTCTACTGAGTGGATTACGTTCACAAAGATGAAAAGGAAAAATCTGTGTGACATGTTTATGAAGGAAGGATACAAGAAAACTGGGTCGGGCTTCAGAATTTGATTTCTTGGACAGAGATGAACAAAGTAAGATGGATGATATGGGCAGAGACTAGTGTGAGTTTAGCAGGCAGAGAGAAAACAGACATTGGAAGGCTTGATGAGGTGTGAAAGAACAACATTGTTTCTGGTTATAAGCTTTGAAGCCATAAAGAATTGGATGAATGAAAAGATGGACAGTTTGACTGGGTGATTGATAATTGAAATGTAGACATTCATTACAAAAACAATTCATTAGAGAATTTCAAAATATAGAAAATGAAAATTAATGTCAAAAAACCTAGAATACTTGATTAACTATCAAAAGAGGTGAATAAATTTTATTGGCATTTTAATGTTTATTCTTATTAAGTTGCAAATATGTGATTATAATATATATATTTTTAAGAATTAATGGATTTAATTTTTTTAATACAACATTTTTATTGGAGGTATGATGATGTAATGGATAGCAGCTAGGATTGAGGAATCAGAGCCAAGTTCTAATTCCAGTTGTATACATTATATTTACTTTTGTGCTAATACCCTTGGGAAAGGTATAAATCCTCCTCTTCTCCCCCTAGCTATGGGTAAGTAGCAAGACAGAATGGGTTCTATAACCTTGGAATGCAACAGGTCTAGGAGAAGGAAAAACTCTGAATTCAAAACTGGCCTGTAGAGGGTTGGGCTCTGTCAGGCTATCTTGGGTAAAAAACATCACTTCTATGAACCTATGGGTCACAGAATAAAAAAAGTTTTATTAATCATTTTTAGCAGATACCCATATTTGAGTAGGCACTCTGTTTCTTTTCAGCAGTATTTCATTTACCAACCTGTGTAATGATAAAATGTCAGATTCAAAAATAAAATCTATTAATTCTTTAGAAATTGCTTTGTTTACATTTTAGATACCAAACTTAGCAGATATGCAGTTCGAGTAAAAATCTGAATGAGTCAATGTCCTTTAAAGGCCAAATAGAATCTCACTTTGTTGTGACACTCTTTATAGCTGAGCAGTGAAAGCACACTGGATCAGACTGTGGTCCTCCCAACAAAAGTGGAGACAGGTTTGTATCCTACTGGAGGGTAGATTTTCTTGTTTTCTCATTAGAAGGGTCTTCAGCTATAGAATCAATGAAAGTGTCTTCTCAGTTATAAAAATCCTTACTATCAAGTAGGTCCCTGAAGGTAGTTATTAATGGCCAATCTCCCAGGCCCTGGGAGTCAACACAGGTACCCCCCAGGAGTCACTCCTCAGAACCAATCCTCTTTTTGCTTTACATAAAAGACCTACCTAAGAATATAATCAGATCCTTTGTAAACATCTATGCCGAGGGTACAACTATATATGTGAGCACCTCTAAAACTCTTGATAATAAGAGATTGACAGCTGATCTCTCTTCCGATCTGGAACAAACTGCTCAGTGAGGGAAAAACTGGATGGTTACATTCACTGCCTTGAAAAGCAAACTTGTTATATTCCATCATCGTTATTTTCAAGATCCTCCTACCTTTTTCTGCACCAAGTAACTATTGCCCCTTTCTTCTTTGTTTATATGCTGTCTCTCTTCAGGGGATAGGCGACTATGGTGCTCCACAACTTTCTCTCCTTTATAGTGCTTATCAGTGTTTGTTTTTTTTTTTACTGCCCTTCACACACCCTGTTCAGTCATCCATTTACACAAGATAGGTTATTCACTGTTTCCCTCCCCACACCTATCTCTCAATATGCCCTGTGAGTATCAAACCTAAAAATTACATCAAAACAAATTTGCAGAAAGAGAAAATTTTTGTGTACTGTCAAAAATTCCTTTTGGCTTAAAGGGTAGATCAGAAGCTGGTCTGGTACAGTAAGTGTTGCAAAACACTGCCTAATCTTGTGACCCAAAATTCAGTCAAGGGTCTGTTAATAATGTGAGAAGGAGAAAGCATGTTCTCATAAAGTCCCTCTCACAAAAAAAGGAGGGAAGGCAGGCCTTAAGTAACAAGGTGGCAGACCTGCACATCCCACAAGTAAAAAGATAACAAAAACCAGTGTTTGGAGCAGCCTTGCTTTGAAAAACAAGCCATGGCAAACACTACGCCTCCCACGTCTGACCACAACCCCACACACGCAGGTAATTTCACTTATTTTTCCACAGTATTTGAATAATAAATATCTTTTTACTTTTAAAATTCACTTCTAAATAGTCTGATATATAGATTTATATATACATTTTCAAACACACACACACACACACACACATATATATATATATATATATATATATATATATTGAAATATTTTATTTTAATTATTAATAATTATATATGTGTGACAAGCAACATTAAATCAAACTGAAATTATAATTTACTTATGGAAGGCAAAATTTACTTGAAAGTTTTTGTGATATCATTTTAAAAAAATAACCATGGATACTTTTTGATGACTGAATAATGACAACATATTAAATAGAAATGACAAAACCAGCTTAAAAGTTTAGGCTGAAGATGTTTGCATTTATTTATCATGAGTGACTTTGGAGAAATTTAATCACTATCTGTACTCCCACCCATTGTCAGATCTTCTTTTATCTGTCAAGTTCTTTCAAGACATAGGCAGCCATCTTTTTCTTCTTTAAATAATTTTTACCCTTTATCATCCATCTTTGTTGCTCTGCTTTTCTTGTGCTTGTTAAATTCTCTCAGACCTCTTTCAATTTTATCTTTCTAATAATAAGTTTAAGCTTCTTTGTTTCTGTTTTCTTTAAGACTTCCTCATTGCTTATATGTCCTGTCCATACTATTCTTTGCATTTGTCTTTAAAACCAAATCACTTCAAGTTCCCATATATGTCTGCTGGAAGGAATAATAACAAAAAGTTGATACCAATTTCCCCTTTTCATAAAATTGGATTCATTTGGAGAATAATTGCTGGCAAACAAAACCTGTACTATTAAACTTATAAATGTTATAAATAAGTTAATCTTGTAAGTAATCATAGGATAGTAGCTTAAAAATCTGACTTTAAAACCAAGACAAACTCTAATAAGATTAAAGAGAACATCAGTGAATTTCTGGTTAAAATAAAAAACAGATTTCAGGTTGTGTGGAATAGCAAAAAGAACAACAAAAATATGAATATTAAATTAACAACTAGAATTAAGGAAGTAACAGGAATAATTGATGAAACAGAAATGGCAATGAAAAATAAGGATAGTTAAAGTCAACTTTAGAATTGATGAAAAAAGAAGAGGAATATGGAAAAAGAGATAAAAATGAAAATACAGAATTAAACCAATCAACAAAAAAAAAATTAGAAAATTAGAAAGAAGATAAATATGGAAATTGTACAAAGAGCTAT